TTTATTTTTCCCCGATTCCGTGGGTTAGGGTTACCTTTTATTTTTCCCTGATTGCCGTGAGTTAGGGTTACCTTTTATTTTTCCCTGATTGCCGTGAGTTAGGGTTACTATATATTTTTCCCTGATTGCCGTGGGTTAGGGTTACCCTATATTTTTCCCTGATTGCCGTGGGTTAGGGTTACTATATATTTTTCCCTGATTGCCGTGGGTTAGGGTTACTATATATTTTTCCCTGATTGCCGTGGGTTAGGGTTACTATATATTTTTCCCTGATTGCCGTGGGTTAGGGTTACCTTTTATATTTCCCTGATTGCCGTGAGTTAGGGTTACTATATATTTTTCCCTGATTGCCGTGGGTTAGGGTTACCCTATATTTTTCCCTGATTGCCGTGGGTTAGGGTTACTATATATTTTTCCCTGATTGCCGTGGGTTAGGGTTACTATATATTTTTCCCTGATTGCCGTGGGTTAGGGTTACTATATATTTTTCCCTGATTGCCGTGGGTTAGGGTTACTATATATTTTTCCCTGATTGCCGTGGGTTAGGGTTACTATATATTTTTCCCTGATTGCCGTGGGTTAGGGTTACTATATATTTTTCCCTGATTGCCGTGGGTTAGGGTTACTATATATTTTTCCCTGATTGCCGTGAGTTAGGGTTACTATATATTTTTCCCTGATTGCCGTGGGTTAGGGTTACTATATATTTTTCCCTGATTGCCATGGGTTAGGGTTACTATATATTTTTCCCTGATTGCCGTGGGTTAGGGTTACTATATATTTTTCCCCGATTGCCGTGAGTTAGGGTTACTATATATTTTTCCCTGATTGCCGTGGGTTAGGGTTACTATATATTTTTCCCTGATTGCCGTGGGTTAGGGTTACTATATATTTTTCCCTGATTGCCGTGGGTTAGGGTTACTATATATTTTTCCCTGATTGCCGTGGGTTAGGGTTACTATATATTTTTCCCTGATTGCCGTGAGTTAGGGTTACCTTTTATATTTCCCTGATTGCCGTGGGTTAGGGTTACCTTTTATATTTCCCTGATTGCCGTGAGTTAGGGTTACCTTTTATATTTCCCTGATTGCCGTGGGTTAGGGTTACTATATATTTTTCCCTGATTGCCGTGGGTTAGGGTTACCTTTTATATTTCCCTGATTGCCGTGAGTTAGGGTTACCTTTTATATTTCCCTGATTGCCGTGGGTTAGGGTTACTATATATTTTTCCCTGATTGCCGTGGGTTAGGGTTACCTTTTATATTTCCCTGATTGCCGTGGGTTAGGGTTACTATATATTTTTCCCTGATTACCGTGGGTTAGGGTTACTATATATATTTCCCTGATTGCCGTGGGTTAGGGTTACTATATATTTTTCCCTGATTGCCGTGGGTTAGGGTTACCTTTTATATTTCCCTGATTGCCGTGAGTTAGGGTTACCTTTTATATTTCCCTGATTGCCGTGGGTTAGGGTTACTATATATTTTTCCCTGATTGCCGTGGGTTAGGGTTACCTTTTATATTTCCCTGATTGCCGTGGGTTAGGGTTACTATATATTTTTCCCTGATTGCCGTGGGTTAGGGTTACCTTTTATATTTCCCTGATTGCCGTGGGTTAGGGTTACTATATATTTTTCCCTGATTGCCGTGGGTTAGGGTTACTATATATATTTCCCTGATTGCCGTGGGTTAGGGTTACTATATATTTTTCCCTGATTGCCGTGGGTTAGGGTTACCTTTTATATTTCCCTGATTGCCGTGAGTTAGGGTTACTATATATATTTCCCTGATTGCCGTGGGTTAGGGTTACTATATATTTTTCCCTGATTGCCGTGGGTTAGGGTTACCTTTTATATTTCCCTGATTGCCGTGGGTTAGGGTTACCTTTTATATTTCCCTGATTGCCGTGGGTTAGGGTTACTATATATTTTTCCCTGATTGCCGTGGGTTAGGGTTACCTTTTATATTTCCCTGATTGCCGTGAGTTAGGGTTACCTTTTATATTTCCCTGATTGCCGTGGGTTAGGGTTACTATATATTTTTCCCTGATTGCCGTGGGTTAGGGTTACTATATATTTTTCCCTGATTGCCGTGGGTTAGGGTTACCTTTTATATTTCCCTGATTGCCGTGGGTTAGGGTTACCTTTTATATTTCCCTGATTGCCGTGGGTTAGGGTTACTATATATTTTTCCCTGATTGCCGTGGGTTAGGGTTACCTTTTATATTTCCCTGATTGCCGTGAGTTAGGGTTACCTTTTATATTTCCCTGATTGCCGTGGGTTAGGGTTACTATATATTTTTCCCTGTTTGTCGTGGGTTAGGGTTACTATATATTTTTCCCTGATTGCCGTGGGTTAGGGTTACCTTTTATATTTCCCTGATTGCCGTGGGTTAGGGTTACTATATATTTTTCCCTGATTGCCGTGGGTTAGGGTTACTATATATTTTTCCCTGATTGCCGTGGGTTAGGGTTACTATATATTTTTCCCTGATTGCCGTGGGTTAGGGTTACTATATATTTTTCCCTGATTGCCGTGGGTTAGGGTTACTATATATTTTTCCCTGATTGCCGTGGGTTAGGGTTACTATATATTTTTCCCTGATTGCCGTGAGTTAGGGTTACTATATATTTTTCCCTGATTGCCGTGGGTTAGGGTTACTATATATATTTTTCCCTGATTGCCGTGGGTTAGGGTTACTATATATTTTTCCCTGATTGCCGTGGGTTAGGGTTACTATATATTTTTCCCTGATTGCCGTGGGTTAGGGTTAGGGTTAGGGTTTGGGTTAGGGTTAGGGTTAGGGTTAGGGTTACCTTTTAATTTTTCCTGATCGCTGTGGCGCGTGATTTTCGTGGTCTCTACTGTGACGTCACGGTGGGACACTGGTGTCCACTTTCTGGATCTTCTAAGTAGCAGGAAAAAGAGGAGGATCGTTGTCATGATAAAAACCATGGTGGTGTAGATAAAGATGTTACCGGCAAAGATGAAATCCTCTTTCGCCAAACCTAAATAGAAATCAAATCGAAATGAGCGGGACTATGGACGTGTGTAACATACAGCTGAGTAGTGGGACAACGATTTAACAACTCAAGACATTTTTCTCCATCTAAAATAGCTTAAACAATGACTTAAATATATAATCGTTGAAGGTTTGACAGTCGTTAACAATCTGGATAGAAAATATCGACATAAAATTTTAGTCAGCAATTTGGTGAGATGTGGGACAGTCAAGGAGATGTGGGACAGTCAAGATGTGGGACAGTCAAGGAGATGTGGGACAGTCAAGGAGATGTGGGACAGTCAAGATGTGGGACAGTCAAGGAGATGTGGGACAGTCAAGATGTGGGACAGTCAAGGAGATGTGGGACAGTCAAGGAGATGTGGGACAGTCAAGATGTGGGACAGTCAAGGAGATGTGGGACAGTCAAGATGTGGGACAGTCAAGGAGATGTGGGACAGTCAAGATGTGGGACAGTCAAGATGTGGGACAGTCAAGGAGATGTGGGACAGTCAAGATGTGGGACAGTCAAGGAGATGTGGGACAGTCAAGGAGATGTGGGACAGTCAAGATGTGGGACAGTCAAGATGTGGGACAGTCAAGATGTGGGACAGTCAAGATGTGGGACAGTCAAGGAGATGTGGGACAGTCAAGGAGATGTGGGACAGTCAAGATGTGGGACAGTCAAGGAGATGTGCGACAGTCAAGATGTGGGACAGTCAAGGAGATGTGGGACAGTCAAGATGTGGGACAGTCAAGATGTGGGACAGTCAAGGAGATGTGGGACAGTCAAGATGTGGGACAGTCAAGATGTGGGACAGTCAAGATGTGGGACAGTCAAGATGTGGGACAGTCAAGGAGATGTGGGACAGTCAAGGAGATGTGGGACAGTCAAGATGTGGGACAGTCAAGGAGATGTGCGACAGTCAAGATGTGGGACAGTCAAGGAGATGTGGGACAGTCAAGATGTGGGACAGTCAAGATGTGGGACAGTCAAGGAGATGTGGGACAGTCAAGATGTGGGACAGTCAAGATGTGGGACAGTCAAGGAGATGTGGGACAGTCAAGGAGATGTGGGACAGTCAAGGAGATGTGGGACAGTCAAGGAGATGTGGGACAGTCAAGATGTGGGACAGTCAAGGAGATGTGGGACAGTCAAGATGTGGGACAGTCAAGATGTGGGACAGTCAAGGAGATGTGGGACAGTCAAGATGTGGGACAGTCAAGGAGATGTGGGACAGTCAAGATGTGGGACAGTCAAGATGTGGGACAGTCAAGATGTGGGACAGTCAAGGAGATGTGGGACAGTCAAGATGTGGGACAGTCAAGATGTGGGACAGTCAAGGAGATGTGGGACAGTCAAGATGTGGGACAGTCAAGATGTGGGACAGTCAAGGAGATGTGGGACAGTCAAGATGTGGGACTGTCAAGGAGATGTGGGACAGTCAAGATGTGGGACAGTCAAGATGTGGGACAGTCAAGATGTGGGACAGTCAAGGAGATGTGGGACAGTCAAGATGTGGGACAGTCAAGATGTGGGACTGTCAAGGAGATGTGGGACAGTCAAGATGTGGGACAGTCAAGATGTGGGACAGTCAAGATGTGGGACAGTCAAGATGTGTGACAGTCAAGATGTGGGACAGTCAAGATGTGGGACAGTCAAGATGTGGGACTGTCAAGGAGATGTGGGACAGTCAAGATGTGGGACAGTCAAGATGTGGGACAGTCAAGGAGATGTGGGACAGTCAAGGAGATGTGGGACAGTCAAGATGTGGGACAGTCAAGGAGATGTGGGACAGTCAAGGAGATGTGGGACAGTCAAGATGTGGGACAGTCAAGGAGATGTGGGACAGTCAAGGAGATGTGGGACAGTCAAGATGTGGGACTGTCAAGGAGATGTGGGACAGTCAAGATGTGGGACAGTCAAGATGTGGGACAGTCAAGGAGATGTGGGACAGTCAAGATGTGTGACAGTCAAGGAGATGTGGGACAGTCAAGGAGATGTGGGACAGTCAAGATGTGGGACAGTCAAGGAGATGTGGGACAGTCAAGATGTGGGACAGTCAAGATGTGGGACAGTCAAGATGTGGGACAGTCAAGATGTGGGACAGTCAAGGAGATGTGGGACAGTCAAGATGTGTGACAGTCAAGGAGATGTGGGACAGTCAAGGAGATGTGGGACAGTCAAGATGTGGGACAGTCAAGGAGATGTGGGACAGTCAAGGAGATGTGGGACAGTCAAGATGTGGGACAGTCAAGGAGATGTGGGACAGTCAAGGAGATGTGGGACAGTCAAGATGTGGGACAGTCAAGGAGATGTGGGACAGTCAAGATGTGGGACAGTCAAGGAGATGTGGGACAGTCAAGATGTGGGACAGTCAAGATGTGGGACAGTCAAGGAGATGTGGGACAGTCAAGATGTGGGACAGTCAAGGAGATGTGGGACAGTCAAGGAGATGTGGGACAGTCAAGATGTGGGACAGTCAAGATGTGGGACAGTCAAGATGTGGGACAGTCAAGATGTGGGACAGTCAAGGAGATGTGGGACAGTCAAGATGTGGGACAGTCAAGATGTGGGACAGTCAAGGAGATGTGCGACAGTCAAGATGTGGGACAGTCAAGGAGATGTGGGACAGTCAAGATGTGGGACAGTCAAGGAGATGTGGGACAGTCAAGGAGATGTGGGACAGTCAAGGAGATGTGGGACAGTCAAGGAGATGTGGGACAGTCAAGATGTGGGACAGTCAAGGAGATGTGGGACAGTCAAGATGTGGGACAGTCAAGATGTGGGACAGTCAAGGAGATGTGGGACAGTCAAGATGTGGGACAGTCAAGATGTGGGACAGTCAAGATGTGGGACAGTCAAGGAGATGTGGGACAGTCAAGATGTGGGACAGTCAAGATGTGGGACAGTCAAGGAGATGTGGGACAGTCAAGATGTGGGACAGTCAAGATGTGGGACAGTCAAGGAGATGTGGGACAGTCAAGATGTGGGACAGTCAAGATGTGGGACAGTCAAGATGTGGGACTGTCAAGGAGATGTGGGACAGTCAAGATGTGGGACAGTCAAGATGTGGGACAGTCAAGGAGATGTGGGACAGTCAAGGAGATGTGGGACAGTCAAGATGTGGGACAGTCAAGATGTGGGACAGTCAAGGAGATGTGGGACAGTCAAGATGTGGGACAGTCAAGGAGATGTGGGACAGTCAAGGAGATGTGGGACAGTCAAGATGTGGGACAGTCAAGGAGATGTGGGACAGTCAAGATGTGGGACAGTCAAGATGTGGGACAGTCAAGATGTGGGACTGTCAAGGAGATGTGGGACAGTCAAGATGTGGGACAGTCAAGATGTGGGACAGTCAAGGAGATGTGGGACAGTCAAGGAGATGTGGGACAGTCAAGATGTGGGACAGTCAAGGAGATGTGGGACAGTCAAGGAGATGTGGGACAGTCAAGATGTGGGACAGTCAAGGAGATGTGGGACAGTCAAGGAGATGTGGGACAGTCAAGATGTGGGACTGTCAAGGAGATGTGGGACAGTCAAGATGTGGGACAGTCAAGATGTGGGACAGTCAAGGAGATGTGGGACAGTCAAGATGTGGGACAGTCAAGATGTGGGACAGTCAAGGAGATGTGGGACAGTCAAGGAGATGTGGGACAGTCAAGATGTGGGACAGTCAAGGAGATGTGGGACAGTCAAGATGTGGGACAGTCAAGATGTGGGACAGTCAAGATGTGGGACAGTCAAGGAGATGTGCGACAGTCAAGATGTGGGACAGTCAAGATGTGGGACAGTCAAGGAGATGTGGGACAGTCAAGATGTGGGACAGTCAAGGAGATGTGGGACAGTCAAGATGTGGGACAGTCAAGATGTGGGACAGTCAAGATGTGGGACAGTCAAGGAGATGTGGGACAGTCAAGATGTGGGACAGTCAAGATGTGGGACAGTCAAGGAGATGTGGGACAGTCAAGGAGATGTGGGACAGTCAAGGAGATGTGGGACAGTCAAGGAGATGTGGGACAGTCAAGGAGATGTGGGACAGTCAAGGAGATGTGGGACAGTCAAGATGTGGGACAGTCAAGATGTGGGACAGTCAAGATGTGTGACAGTCAAGATGTGGGACAGTCAAGGAGATGTGGGACAGTCAAGATGTGGGACAGTCAAGGAGATGTGGGACAGTCAAGATGTGGGACAGTCAAGATGTGGGACAGTCAAGATGTGGGACAGTCAAGATGTGTGACAGTCAAGGAGATGTGGGACAGTCAAGGAGATGTGGGACAGTCAAGATGTGGGACGTTAATGGAAGAGGAGACGTCACAAACATCGCTACAAAAAACATCGCTACAAAAAGCATCGCTACAAAAAACATTGCTACAAAAAACAGGACACTTATTATTAATAGCATTTCTGTTGTAATTTACACAAGTCAGTGAATACAAAATGGTTTCATTGTGTTCTTTAGGTAGTCCCTGTGGCACTGTGAGATTGACGCATGACTAAACTCCGTTCTATGTCTATAAATCCCAGAACCCAACCAATTCCAGCCTTTTGTTTTCCCATGGCCGATGGAATTTTATGTTTTTGGCAACTAATTTTGTTAACTTCTGTCAATTTCAGCAATTTTCAAACTGTAATATGTGTTGGAGCATTTGATCACATGTAAAGCCAGCTCTGATTTTGTTGGGGCATATTGGGTCCAGCTTTTGTTCACACTTTCTTCATCCATATGCAGATGGGGAGAGTCAATGACTGTCTGCCACAAATTTTCTCCTTTCAACACTCTCTGGACAATATCAAAGACGTTCAACACTCTCTGAACAATATCAAAGACATTCAACACTCTCTGAACAATATCAAAGACGTTCAACACTCTCTGAACAATATCAAAGACATTCAACACTCTCTGAACGATATCAAAGACGTTCAACACTCTCTGGACAATATCAAAGACGTTCAACACTCTCTGGACAATATCAAAGACGTTCAACACTCTCTGAACAATATCAAAGACATTCAACACTCTCTGAACAATATCAAAGACGTTCAACACTCTCTGGACAATATCAAAGATGTTCAACTGTGCTGTTTTTCAAATGTTTTCTTTGTGAAAAAAATCAGGTGCAAGGTATCTTGTAATATACACCCAGAGGTTCTATCAAGTCATTAAGTCAAACCAATGTATGGATCGATGTTTAAATAGATTTAGTACATGCTACATACTTGACTGTAACGACAAAACCATTCAAATGACAACATCACGTGACTAATGAACGGCTGTGGTGAGAAGTGGGACATCTTGTTTTATGTCATCGACAATTATAAAGTTAACAAAAACATGTCCTCAACAATTATAAAGTTAACAAAAACATGTCCTCAACAATTATAAAGTTAACAAAAACATGTCCTCAACAATTATAAAGTTAACAAAAACATGTCCTCAACAATTATAAAGTTAACAAAAACATGTCCTCGACAATTATAAAGTTAACAAAAACATGTCCTCGACAATTATAAAGTTAACAAAAACATGTCCTCGACAATTATAAAGTTAACAAAAACATGTCCTCGACAATTATAAAGTTAACAAAAACATGTCCTCAATAATTATAAAGTTAACAAAAACATGTCCTCAACAATTATAAAGTTAACAAAAACATGTCCTCAACAATTATAAAGTTAACAAAAACATGTCCTCAACAATTATAAAGTTAACAAAAACATGTCCTCAACAATTATAAAGTTAACAAAAACATGTCCTCAACAATTATAAAGTTAACAAAAACATGTCCTCAACAATTATAAAGTTAACAAAAACATGTCCTCAACAATTATAAAGTTAACAAAAACATGTCCTCAACAATTATAAAGTTAACAAAAACATGTCCTCAACAATTATAAAGTTAACAAAAACATGTCCTCAACAATTATAAAGTTAACAAAAACATGTCCTCAACAATTATAAAGTTAACAAAAACATGTCCTCAACAATTATAAAGTTAACAAAAACATGTCCTCAACAATTATAAAGTTAACAAAAACATGTCCTCAACAATTATAAAGTTAACAAAAACATGTCCTCAACAATTATAAAGTTAACAAAAACATGTCCTCAACAATTATAAAGTTAACAAAAACATGTCCTCAACAATTATAAAGTTAACAAAAACATGTCCTCAACAATTATAAAGTTAACAAAAACATGTCCTCAACAATTATAAAGTTAACAAAAACATGTCCTCAACAATTATAAAGTTAACAAAAACATGTCCTCAACAATTATAAAGTTAACAAAAACATGTCCTCAACAATTATAAAGTTAACAAAAACATGTCCTCAACAATTATAAAGTTAACAAAAACATGTCCTCAACAATTATAAAGTTAACAAAAACATGTCCTCAACAATTATAAAGTTAACAAAAACATGTCCTCAACAATTATAAAGTTAACAAAAACATGTCCTCAACAATTATAAAGTTAACAAAAACATGTCCTCAACAATTATAAAGTTAATAAAAGCATGTCACCAACAACAACAAAAAAAAAATTCCTCACCCAAACTAGCAGCTGAGTTGATCTGTTCTGAAATCAAAAGTTGCCACATTAGCCATCAAAACGCTATTTCTACTCAACCGTAAGAGGATATAAACAGGTTAATCATTTCCACATTTTCTTTAGATATAGATTCTATATTGTTCTAGACGGTTAGGGTTAGTAAACGGGGCCACACAAACTGGGCCACACAAACAGGGCCACACAAACTGGGTCACTCTATAAGTGCTGGATATTTTAAAAAACACGCGGGCTATGCATTAGAAACTCGTGTTCATGGGTTACGGTTAGAAGAAGAAAGTAAACTATTTATTTTCATTTTTTTAATTAAAAAAAACAAACAACAAGACATAGATCTAATTATTTTCGCGCACACAGTTAAAACTTGAAGGCAAGAAAAACTTACTTTCACAGAAATAACCAGAAAACCCAGAGTAACATTCCTGACAGTAGCCATTGGATACGTTACACTGTCGACATTGACTTGAACAATTCCACAGACACATCTCGCCATACGTCCGATTAGGGCAGGCTATGGAAGATTGAATTAGAGATATGAAGCAAATAATTGAATATACCACAAAATAAAACAGAAAATATTCCTAAAAATGTTTGAAATATTACTTTTAATATTACTTTTAAGTAGGGAAAGGGGGACTGAAAAGTCACATATTACACTTTTTAGAATCTGGCAGGGCCGGCGCTACCTATAAGGCGAACTAGGCGGTCGCCTAGGGCGCTATCCATAGGGGGGCGCAAAAATGTGTAATCGCCATTAGTAAAAAGTAATAATAAGTATTAATAACTATATTTTATAAACTATTCTGAGGGTAATGTACAAAGGCTTGGCAATCTATTACAGTGCCCAGGTCGAGCTATCTATTTTGCGCCCCATCTTCAAATTAGGCCTATATATAGTTATTCGAGTTGTCGGAAACCCCCCACCACACTAATTTGGAAAGGTTGGGGCGGTTTTTACCAGTCACTTTGCCTTTTTATTTTGGTGTCTCACAATTGATGCAGAAAACAATTAGATAAGCCCGTAATGCCAAATAGCAGTCAACATTCTTGATTTCAATCCTAATATATAAAAGCCCGTGTGCGCACTTCTCTCTCTCTCTCTCTGTCCGCAAAATATTTTCGCAGGATATCACATCAGAATCTTCAGCGATATATGGAGAAATTGATACGGACTTTTGTTGAAAATAATATGGTAGATGTTTAAATGTATAAACAAAATTTTATTTAAAGACGAAAAATAAAAAATAAAGGCATATTCGAATGTAGAAAAACAGTTTTAATTATGCAACAGGAAAAGTGTTTATAGTTGTGAAAAAGAACGCTTGAAACAATGACGTCACATGCCGAATGTTTACACTAAGGATAGAGCACAGAAAATTATGATGTCATCTTCCAAGTTTAGAATATAAAGAAATGAACAATTTCATTCAAATTTGATTTAGATCTACGTACGCTATTAAATGTATACAATACAATTTTCTCATCCTAAACTTATAAAATTTACTTTATCTAGGCGTATTTGGAGTCTAGATCTAAATATTCTAGATTTAGACTAGATCTACGGAAAAACTAGACGTAGACGCTAAGATCGAGATTTAGATTATCTACTCTAGAATCTATTCCCATAACAAATTTCTATATTAAACTATTTCAGGCCTTAATTATTTTATAGAAATCTTTGTTTGTTTAGCTATGTAATTGGCTAACTTGGGATAAAATTTACGTTGAAAGAATAGGGCTATTTGCGTTCTTTAAGTTTCTTAACTAGGTCTTTTATTCTTCATGATTTAACGGAATCATTTAAGTCACTTAATCGAATATGATGATTCAGATGATTATGTGATTGGGGGGGGGGGGGGAGTTGTACAAAGTTTTGCCTAGGGTGCTAAATGACCTGGCGCCAGCACGGGGATCTGGAGACAAGAATTGTGAACCTTTAACAATGCCAATGCACCAGATACTAGTTCCACATTTCAGATCTGGAGACAAGAATTGTGAACCTTTAACAATGCCAATGCACCAGATACTAGTTCCACATTTCAGATCTGGAGACAAGAATTGTGAACCTTTAACAATGCCAATGCACCAGATACTAGTTCCACATTTCAGATAACTGTATGCAGAGCTGTTTGGAATAGCTGTTCACTGTATGCCCATGACAGACTTGCAAACTGGTGATTTAGAATCGTGATATTTTACCCCAGTGAAATTCACACACTTTCAAAGTTAAATGGTTGAATGTATTTGATCCCAAAAAACATTTTTTTGCTATTGATGTTTCCTCATCACTTTCTCCAGATTATTGAAGAACAAGTTGACGTTTGTTTTGTTGAATGCCTGTATGCGATTAAGTGATGTGGCCTCTGGACTTCACAGAGATAACTTGTCCTTGTGACGTTGCCTGAATGCCTTCAGCCAATCCTCTCCTGCAGTTTTAGCAGAGGACCAGAATTCTGGCAAAGAAATTTTGTTGGCAACAGCAACTTTGTAGGCTAGTTTGCGTAATTCTCTCAGAGTTAGGCCATAGTAGATTGAAGAGGCTTCAATGATGTAGTCCAGCAAAACTTGTTCTTGCTCATCTGTAAGTTGTGTACTGTAAGTTGCCTTCTCAATGTTGCCGTATGTTTTGTGCAGCTTTACATAGAGTTGGAGGGTCTTATAATTAATCCCATAGTCGGATGCAGCTTTACGGAGCGACTTTCCTTCAAAATGGGCTGCAACTGTCATCTCAACGGCATGTTTCGTAGATGCTCCTCATGTTGTTTTGCGCTGGTATTGTCTTGGCATGATTCTGTGAAGAAAAAAACAAGTTGAACTCCTTAGACTAAACTCAAAGATACAATCTAAACACAAAAAATTCAGTGATTGCATATGTAATGATTGGACTATAAAGGTTATTATTACTGAGTAAAATTATATATTTATTACTACTACTACTTGACTATTATTATCTTATTCACTGTATACATGCTAGGGAAATACAATGACTTTTCAACCCATGGCCTGTGACATTACACCCCAGCATGGGATTTTCATGCAAAAAGATCCATACTTTCAAATTCAATTTCTCAGAAGTAAATACAGTCAATCCAGACTGACGTTATTATGGCTTGAGAACACAATTATTGCATGAAAACACAAAAATAATGAAAGATGCAAGCATACTTACAGGATTCTGTTGATCAAATTTCCCACTTTGTCAATGAAAACAAGTACATGATGTTCTGAACTCAGTTCCGGTTCAGAGAGTTACAACAGGAAGTGAACTAAGTAGGGTAAACGACTAAAAACCATAATTTTCTCAATGAAGGAATGAAAAAGAATGATCTTCAAGGCAAAAACTTGCTGTGACTTTTCGCCCCTGTGACTTTTCACCCACTCCTCCCCTATATTACTCAAACATATTACTTAAACAAAATATTACTTACAATTATTGTTTGGAAATAATTTAAAACAAAAGAAAAATTAACAGAATAAAATGTTTGAAAATAAATAACCAGTAGCAAAAGGCCTGCAGTTAAAAAGACTTAGAAGTGCAGTACTTACTGTTGTTACAGAACCGCCCTAGGTAGCCAGTGCTACAGCTAGCACATTCGCCTGTAGTCACATTGCATATGGATTTTTTGCAGTTGACAGGACACGCTTCTTTACACATAGGCCCATATAATCCTACAACACAAACTGCACGTAGGCAACAGAATACTGTTAGTTTTTTTCTGCTATTTCCTAAATAGTTTATAGACACTTATTTTTTAAACACTTATTTTATAAACGATTTGTAAACAAAATCTTTACTGTAACTCAGTTCATTTAATATTTTATGCTGATATAAAGACATTATTACTTAAACATTCTATAAAACAAAACAAACAAAATAAAGTTAAAATTCATTTAACAAATTATTAAGAAGAAATTAAATGCACAAAAATAAACAGGGTAAAGCCATCCCCTTGGCCAAAACTTGTAGTTTCATTAATCAAAAGAAATACAAACAACACAACACAAAATAGAAAGAAATAATTTTGAAAAACGTACACAATATTTGACACACAATAAAAAATTGATGAGAAAAATTCCAATTGATGAGAAAAAGTTCAACTCACATTGACAAAATTCTCCCTCAAACCCTTCAAGACACTCGCTACAGTGCCCAGTTATAGCAGAACAGCTGGAATTTTTGCAAGAGCTAGGACATTGGTTCTGACAACTCTCTCCATATCTCCCTACCTCACAATCTAAATGGTTAGGGTAGGTAAATGGAGGATCAAATTAATACTCATGCGTACAATAAATACTTACAAACAAACGTGTTTAAAAACATCGATTTCAACTGAGCATGGAGCTGACCACACTATCCTTTCATATGCTTAGACCACAAAAATCAGGTGAACTCTACTTCACCTGCATCGGTTTCCCGCTAGGTCAGAAAGGCAACTTCATCATTCACGTCTAAAATAAAAATCACACCTCAGCTTACCAGAGTATCTTCTAAGCATCTCTTGGGGTGGGGGGGGGGGGCGTCCCTCCAGGTAGGGTCTATCACCCACAGAACGAAATGGAATTTAAATAGAAAATATATACTCTAAACAGTGTCCGCCCCCCTCCCCCCACCCCCGAAAATTTCAAGTGCCCCCCTCCCGGAGAAAAATGTTAGCTTCATAAAAACCAAATGTGGATATTCTACAAATCTATACGCACCATAGACAAAAAAACAAAATCATGTAAATTAAACTTAATGAAAAAATTCTAAATCTTGAAAATTGTTGTCTACTAATTAAACTAAATTGGTAATTGCAACCATGTGCAAATTTTTCTTATAGTAATATTAAAAATAAAAAATCACCATCAATAATTTGTGGAAAAAAATGTTGTTATAGTGGCCACATGATTAGCATTCAAGATGGGTGTTGGTGAGGAATCCAAGATTTTAGGTCGAATTAGGGTTAGCTTAGTGTTAAGGTTAAGATTATATATAAAAAATCACTGTCAATAATTTGTGGAAAAAATGTTGTTATAGTGGCCACATGATTAGCATTCAAGATGGGTGTTGGTGATGAATCCAAGATTTTAGTTCAAATTAGGGTTAGCTTAGTGTTAAGGTTAAGGTTATGCATTTGAATGACCTGGAAGAACTTACAGCTATCACAAAAATGGCCACGATAGCCAGGTTTACAGCTGGAACACTGGCCACTAACAGCGTCACATGACAAGTTCTGGCAACCACTCGGACAAGCCCAGAAACAATTTTCACCAAAATAGCCAGTCTGGCAAGCTGTTCAAAACAAAACATTTTTGCATGATCAATGAGCTACACATAAAAATAAAAATGCATGGACTGTTAAGAATAAGGGTTAGGTTATGGACGAACACAAACATTCATTTAAAAACAGTACAAGTTTTATAATTAATTAAATTAAAATAGCAAAATGTGCAGGTATAAAACAATTTTATGGATAAGATGAATGTAAGGAAAATTTAAAAAAAAAACTGCAGTCTGCCCCCCACCCCCCTCGCGGAGAAAAATGTTACTTCATAACCTTCATAAAAATCAAATGTGGATATTCTACAAATCAATCAATACCAGACATGCCTACCCCTTTCAGCCAAAAGTCATGCCTAAAAAGAGGAATTTGTAGCGAAAAAGAGGAACATACGCATGGACGCTATTTTACTAAATCAAAAATAAAAATAATTAATTAAAAATTACTCTAATGACATTAGTAGGCTTCTAGTCATATATAACTAGTCTCTAGGCTACATTTAAATACTGCTTATTAATGTCAGCTTACATTTTTTTTAAAAAGTTAACCAGTAACCTGAGACCCCCCCCCCCCCCCAATAAAAATCATAGCTTTGACATAACATTATTGATTTGATTATTTATGCCTTGCTATGTTCTAGGCTATACTAATATGAATAACAAATGCTGAAGGCTTTATCATATGTAATATATAAGTTAAGAGAAAATACCCTTGATCTACCTAGTAAAAGTCCTAGTTACTTTTTACTAAGTTCTTCATGATAGTAGTTACTAGTTAAGTTACAACTTAAAGATAGATCAGTGTTCACTATTTCAGTATCTACTAGTAGATCTAGTTACAATTCTAGACCTAGTAGTAGTAGATATACTAGCTAGATCTAATATTAGATGATACTTGTAAATATTTAAGTCAACTAGGAAACAGAAACGTATGCCAAAGGGAGATAATCGCCTTTTCTGCCTCTTTTTCAATTCACTTTATTACCTTTCTTTATTAATTTTTTTTTCAAAAAATAGGAACAAACTTAGTCGAAATCGGAATGACGGAACAAATTACTTTTTTAGGTGAAAAATCGGGACGGTTCCGATTTTGGCGGGACGGTAGGCATGTCTGCAATACGCACTATAGACAAAAACACATATTCATGTGAACTAAACTTAATAAAAAAAATTTAAATCTTGCAAATTGTTGGCGACTAATAAAACTAAATTGGTAATTGCAACCATGTGCAAATTTTTCTTATAGTAATATTAAAAATAAAAAATCACCATCAATAATTTGTGGAAAAAATGTTGTTATAGTGGCCACATGATTAGCATTCAAGATGGGTGTTGGTGATGAATCCAAGATTTTAGTTCAAATTAGGGTTAGCTTAGTGTTAAGGTTATGCATTTGAATGACCTGGAAGAACTTACAGCTATCACAAAAATGGCCACGATAGCCAGGTTTACAGCTGGAACACTGGCCACTAACAGCGTCACATGACAAGTTCTGGCAACCACTCGGACAAGCCCGGAAACAATTTTCACCAAAATAGCCAGTCTGGCAAGCTGTTCAAAACAAAACATTTTTGCATGATCAATGAGCTACACATAAAAATAAAGATGCATGGACTGTTAAGAATAAGGGTTAGATTATGGACGCACACAAACATTTGTTTAAAAACAGTACAAGTTTTATAATTAATTAAATTAAAATAGCAGAATGTGCAGGTATAAAACAATTTTATGGATACGATAAATGTAAGGGAAATTTTTAAAAAAATGCAGTCTGCCTCCGCCCCCAAAAATTTCAAGTGTCCCCCCTCGCGGAGAAAAATGTTACTTCATAACCTTCATAAAAATCAAATGTGGATATTCTACAAATCGATACGCACTATAGACAAAAACACATATTCATGTAAACTAAACTTAATAAAAAAAACTCTAAATCTTGCAAATTATTGGCTACTAATTAAACTAAATTGGTAATTGCAACCATGTGCAAATTTTTCTTATAGTAATATTAAAAATAAAAAATCACCATCAATAATTTGTGGAAAAAATGTTGTTATAGTGGGCACATGTTTAGCGTTCAAGATGGGTGTTGGTGAGGAATCCAAGATTTTAGGTCGAATTAGGGTTAGCTTAGTGTTAAGGTTAAGATTATATATAAAAAATCACTGTCAATAATTTGTGGAAAAAATGTTGTTATAGTGGCCACATGATTAGCGTTCAAAATGGGTGTTGGTGAGGAATCCAAGATTTTAGGTCGAATTAGGGTTAGCTTAGTGTTAAGGTTAAGGTTATGCATTTGAATGACCTGGAAGAACTTACAGCTATCACAAAAATGGCCACGATAGCCAGGTTTACAGCTGGAACACTGGCCACTAACAGCGTCACATGACAAGTTCTGGCAACCACTCGGACAAGCCCGGAAACAATTTTCACCAAAATAGCCAGTCTGGCAAGCTGTTCAAAACAAAACATTTTTGCATGATCAATGAACTACACATAAAAATAAAAATGCATGGACTGTTAAGAATAAGGGTTAGGTTATGGACGAACACAAACATTCGTTTAAAAACAGTACAAGTTTTATAATTAATTAAATTAAAATAGCAAAATGTGCAGGTAAAAAACAATTTTATGGATAAGATGAATGTAAGGAAAATTTAAAAAAAAAAACTGCAGTCTGCCCCCCACCCCCGAAAATTTCAAGTGTCCCCCCTCGCGGAGAAAAATGTTACTTCATAACCTTCATAAAAATCAAATGTGGATATTCTACAAATCAATCAATACCAGACATGCCTACCCCTTTCAGCCAAAAGTCATGCCTAAAAAGAGGAATTTGTAGCGAAAAAGAGGAACATACGCACGGACGCTATTTTACTAAATCAAAAATCAAAATAATTAATTAAAAATTACTCTAATGACATAAGTAGGCTTTTAGTCATATATAACTAGTCTCTAGGCAGAGGCGTATCCAGGTTTTCATTGTGGGGAGCGAAAAGAACAAAAAAAAGGCGCCGAAATTTTTAACACGTTCTATATACGTGTATTATATATATATATATATATATATATATAATTACTAGCTGTTTGTCATTACTTCGCTATGATGTAAAATAAATTGAAAGTAGCACTCTGAAGAAATGAGAAAAAACACACAATGTAGGCCGACAAAACAAAAGATGTATCAATCTAAACAAAAAAAAATATACATACACTACAACAAAAAACAATGAACGTAACACAATCTGTTTTGTAATTCTTGTAAAAAAATTTCTTACATTATAATTCCTGGGACATTATTTAAGACAAGTAAAATAGGGGAAATAATCACTCTCTTAATATAAATATGTATATATCTAAACATTTAATTATAAATGTTAAAACAAATAAATATTTACTGAAGAATATACTGAAATTTTTTAACACTATTCGTGTTCTACAAAGTGTTTTTGTCTATAATCAGAATTAAATATATCGTCATCATAAATGCTAAAGTATTACAGCATAATGAAAGTTTTTAAAATCAGAGTTGGTATAAAAAACACGCTTTTCGAAATAATAAAAACATTCGGAAAAATAGCCTACATTTAACTATACTTTGGTCTTTTAGTTGAGATCATATATTTTTTTAAAATTAACTACTGCTTCTTTGTGTTCCTTAAAGATCATTTTTTAACATAGTAATAGGTATGGGTTAGATCTCTGTATTGCTCACACACCTTTTTACTGTCCGGTCACTTTAGGTCAATTATCCAACCCAGTGTATACCTAGGTGTGACATTAATGTCGCTCTACACAATTGTGGTGGTGAGGTGTGGGGGGGGGGGGGGGGGGGGGGGGGGAGGAGAGATAACCAAGAGTGCACATAGCGTCAGTTTTTAGATGACTGTTCTAAACATACATATATATTACACATGTATACTGGTTCAGAAATAGATTTAAATAAGTAGCAGTGGTATTATGCCTATATTTTTTTTTTACAGAGGGGTCCATGGGGGAGGGGGGTTGTAACTGTTTCATATAATTTGTAATCGTATCACTATCGCCCAAACTGTAAGAATACTACTACTTCATTGTGATGATGTTGTTGAACGTGTCAAAATTTCCCCACCGCTACGCAGCTTGCCCATAAGTAAATTTAAATAGAGGTGCCACATCCGTTGTATTTGTTTCTGTATTGTAATTTTCAAAAATTAATCACACGATTCAAATTGTATATATAAAGTAACTATGTGTGAAGTTTTATGTATAACATTTTCTAATGCAATTATTCGTAAGCAAATACATTATACAGTTGCCTTAAACTTAACACCCCTCTTGCCAAGTGGTACTATCCATAGAGGTTTTATAAACATTGCAATGCATCGTAATGGTTATTTTTAGAATGGCAAACTGATGCAGCTGTTAATATGTGTAGTAAACTACTAGACTAGTACAATAATGCTTAATTACTGCATGAAAAGAAATCTTGTGATTTACATAGATGTGCCGACCAAAAATATTTTTTTAACAAATATCATAGTTTAAAACTTTGAGTTTAAAAAGTTTCCAAAAAGGCGCCACTTTGCTGAAAATGGCCAGAGGGGGAGCAGCCGCTCCCCCTGCGTACGCTACTGTCTCTAGGCTACATTTAAATACTGCTTATTAATGTCAGCTTACATTTTTTTTAAAAAGTTAACCAGTAACCTGAGACCCCCCCCCCCCCCCCAATAAAAACCATAGCTTTGACATAACATTATTGATTTGATTATTTATGCCTTGCTATGTTCTAGGCTATACTAATATGAATAACAAATGCTGAAGGCTTTATCATATGTAATATATAAGTTAAGAGCAAATACCCTTGATCTACCTAGTAAAAGTCCTAGTTACTTTTTACTAAGTTCTTCATGATAGTAGTTACTAGTTAAGTTACAACTTAAAGATAGATCAGTGTTCACTATTTCAGTATCCACTAGTAGATCTAGTTACAATGCTAGACCTAGTAGTAGTAGATATACTAGCTAGATCTAATATTAGATGATACTTGTAAATATTTAAGTCAACTAGGAAACAGAAACGTATGCCAAAGGGAGATAATCGCCTTTTCCTGCCTCTTTTTCAATTCACTTTATTACCATTCTTTGTTAATTTTTTTTTCAAAAAATAGGAACAAACTTAGTCGAAATCGGAATGACGGAACAAATAACTTTTTTAGGTGAAAAATCGGGACGGTTCCGATTTTGGCGGGACGGTAGGCATGTCTGCAATACGCACTATAGACAAAAACACATATTCATGTGAACTAAACTTAATAAAAAAAATTTAAATCTTGCAAATTGTTGGCGACTAATAAAACTAAATTGGTAATTGCAACCATGTGCAAATTTTTCTTATAGTAATATTAAAAATAAAAAATCACCATCAATAATTTGTGGAAAAAATGTTGTTATAGTGGCCACATGATTAGCATTCAAGATGGGTGTTGGTGATGAATCCAAGATTTTAGTTCAAATTAGGGTTAGCTTAGTGTTAAGGTTATGCATTTGAATGACCTGGAAGAACTTACAGCTATCACAAAAATGGCCACGATAGCCAGGTTTACAGCTGGAACACTGGCCACTAACAGCGTCACATGACAAGTTCTGGCAACCACTCGGACAAGCCCGGAAACAATTTTCACCAAAATAGCCAGTCTGGCAAGCTGTTCAAAACAAAACAATTTTTTGCATGATCAATGAGCTACACATAAAAATAAAGATGCATGGACGGAGGGTAGGGGATGACTCCAAAACAAAAATAAGTAAACACACAAAAAACAAAAATAAATGTTATTAAATTCTTTTTGATTATTTGTAGAATACAGGATAGTACACAATAGTAGTTCTACCAATAGAAAAAAAGTACATTTTACATTGTAAAATCTAATGGATTATGGGCCCCAACCAACGCTATAAAGAAGCAAAAGTCATCTAATATTTAGCGGCCTCTATTCAAAAGAATTTTGCTTGCAACAACGTATGTTAGATTGTAGAAGAAAGAGGACTCGGCTTTCATAATGGTTTAAAAACAAAGGGAAAAAGGAATATACAAGAGCGTGGGAAGGTGTCTTTAAAATAAAGATAATCCAACCAGAGCTACAGTATTCTTTTTACAAAAAAATTTTTTTTAACTATAAAAAAATTGATTATGGTCGGCTGTTAAATAATAAGTTATATGGCTAGTTATATAGTTAGTTACATGGTTAGTTATAAGTTAGTTACATAGTTAGTTATATGGTTAGTTATAGAAATTGGGATAAGGAGCTTGTAATAATAGTACATTTATGTATCATTTTAAAATCTAATTAGTGTTTTAGTCAGTAATCCTGAGGTTAGGGTTAGGTCCATGTTACAAATGAATCAGTAAGGTAAATCAAACATTACTTATGATTTAAGGTTAGTTAAATATGCCACATATTGGTTAGAGAAAGTTTAAATATTTTTGATGGGTTAGGGTTAGTTAAATATGTCAGATATGGGTTAGAGAATGTTTAATTATTTTTGATGGGTTAGGGTTTGTGAAATGAATGACTTGCAGGATAGGGTTAGGGTTAGTGAAATTAATGACTTACAGGTTAAATTGCTGATGTTTGGGTAAGGTTTGGTTGAATTTGTTTCTTATGTATTAAGGATAAGTTTTTAATTATATATATATATATATATATATATATATATATATATATATATAGTATATATATATATATATATATATATATATATATATATATAGGGGCCAATATATATGAATTTTTATATATACATAATTTTATATAGGTGTGTGTCTACATAGCTATATATATATATATATATATATATATATATATATATATATATATATATATATATATATATATAGGCCTATATTATAATAATATGATAATATGTTATTAAATAATCTGGCCATAAGAAGATAAAACAAACTAGCTTTCTTTCATAAAATCTTTAGTCATTTTAATTTTCATGAGTAACCTAATTGATAATTAGATTAAAAAGTATTTATTCTTGCATAGTCATTTGAGATAAATGGAGTGTTTCTTCCAGACTTTTTCTCCGGGGAGTGTTTAAAATTTTAGGGTGATGGGGGGGAGGCAGACATTTTTAAAGGTATTTATTTTCTATATAAATTCCATTTTGTTTGGGGGGGGGGGGGGGGGGCTGGTAATTTTTTTTTTTTAACCTCGTTTATAGTCATTCATTCTAAATTAAATTTATAACAACACCACATAAGACTAAACATATTTGATTTCAAACATGACCATTGTAAATTGAACAAAATCATTACACTAGAAGTGGGTTAAAATTAAGTAATAAAATTTGCCACAACCCACAAACAAAAAAACAGACAGACATTGTGTCTAAATAACAAAAAACATACATTGCAAAGTAATTAAAAACTTACAAAAATGTATACTTTATGTTCAATAAGTATAGTGATTTATTAACAGTATGCTATTTATAGTACGTGACTAACAACTGCCATAAAGGTAATGACACAGTAACATAGTTGTGAAGCTTACTTTGATTACAAAATTCTCCATAGTAGCCAGCAGTGCATGAGTAGCACTGTCCAGTGTAGATCTGACATCTGGAGTTTTGACAGTTGGATGGACAAGGTGCAGTGCACCTCTCGCCATAATATCCATCTATACAATCTGTAACACACATTGGAAATACTTTGAAACAGATCTGTAACACACATTGGAAATACTTTCAAACAGATCTGTAACACACATTGGAAATACTTTCAAACAGATCTGTAACACACATTGGAAATACTTTGAAACAGAAAGTGGACATTCACACCTTACACACCAAAAAACATACAAAGTGCGACACAACCACCTTGGTATATCTTGTGAAAATATTTTTGAAATTTTACTTAAAAGACATGTTAAAACGAATGATCAGGAAGCTATTAGAAATAGGGGTACGACCCCAAACCAAACCCCAAGAATAATCTGAACCACATTCCATTCGTACACAATTTTTTTAATTTAGTACGCGAAATGAGGCAAAATATTTTTTTATCTAACAAAACATAACTAAGCTAAGGAAGCCACTAGTTTGTCAAAATTTTATTCACTGATTCTTAAAAAAGAGGCTGCATTTTTATCTTTTTGAAAAGACTATTTATTTTTGAAGTAGGTTAATATGTATACTGTTAAAATTATTGTTATGTCTTCTGTATATATAACACTTAATTTTGAATAACGTTTTTACGAGAGGAAAATAACAATTTCCAGCTTTGTTGAAGACAAAGTTGCTATACCGATGACTGACAGACACACTAAACACCCAACATTACACCAACACCATACACACAACACTACACCCACACTATACACACAACACTACACCCATACTAAACACACACCACTACACCCACACATACACACAACACTACACCCACACAAACACACAACACTACACCCACACTAAACACAACACTACACCCACACTAAACACACAACACTACACCCACACCATACACACAACACTACACCCACACTAAACACACAACACTACAACCCACACTAACACACTACACCCACACTAAACACACAACACTACACCCACACTAAACACACAACACTACACCCACACTAAACACACAACACTACACCCACACTAAACACACAACACTACACCCACACTAAACACACAACACTACACCCACACTAAACACACTACACAACACACTACACCCAACACTACACAACAAACACACAACACTACACCCACACTAAACACACAACACTACACCCACACTAAAACACACAACACTACACCCACACTAAACACAACACTACACCCATACTAAACACACAACACTACACCCACACTAAACACACAACACTACACCCACACTAAACACACAACACTACACCCACACTAAACACACAACACTACACCCACACTAAACACACAACACTACACCCACACTAAACACACAACACTACACCCACACTAAACACACAACACTACACCCACACTAAACACACAACACTACACCCACACTAAACACACAACACAACACCCACACTAAACACACAACACTACACCCACACTAAACACACAACACTACACCCACACAAAAACACACAACACTACACCCACATCAAACACACAACACTACACCCACACTAAACACACGACACTACACCCACACTAAACACACAACACTACACCCACAACACTACACCCACACTAAACACAACACTACACCCACACTAAACACAACACTACACCCACACTAAACACACAACACTACACCCACACTAAACACACAACACTACACCCACACTAAACACACAACACTACACCCACACTAAACACACAACACTACACCCACACTAAACACACAACACTACACCCACACTAAACACACAACACTACACCCACACTACACCCACACTAAACACACAACACTACACCCACACTAAACACACAACACTACACCCCAACAACCTACACCACACCATACACACAACACTACACCCACAACACTACACCCACACTAAACACACAACACTACACCCATACTAAACACACAACACTACACCCACACTAAACACAACACTACACCCACACCATACACACAACACTACACCCACACTAAACACACAACACTACACCCACACTAAACACAACACTACACCCACACCATACACACAACACTACACCCACACTAAACACACAACACTACACCCACACTAAACACACAACACTACACCCACACCATACACACAACACTACACCCACACTAAACACAACACTACACCCACACTAAACACACAACACAACACTACACCCACACCATACACACAACACTACACCCACACTAAACACAACACTACACCCACACCATACACACTACACTACACCCACACCATACACACAACACTACACCCACACTAAACACACAACACTACACCCACCACTAAACACACAACACTACACCCACACTAAACACAACACTACACCCACACATACACACAACACTACACCCACACTAAACACACAACACTACACCCACACTAAACACAACACTACACCCACACCATACACACAACACTACACCCACACTAAACACACAACACTACACCCACACATACACACAACACTACACCCACAACACTACACCCACACTAACAACACAACACTACACCCACACAAAACACACAACACTACACCCACACCATACACACAACACTACACACACACACTACACCAAACACTACACCCACACTAAACACACAACACTACACCCACACTAAACACACAACACTACACCCACACTAAACACACAACACTACACCCACACTAAACACACAACACTACACCCACACCATACACACAACACTACACCCACACAAACACACAACACTAACACCCACACTAAACACACAACACTACACACAACACTACACCCACACTAAACACACAACACTACACCCACAACACAACACTACACACACAACACTACACCCACACTAAACACACAACACTACCCACACTAAACACACAACACTACACCCACACTAAACACACAACACTACACCCACACTAAACACACAACACTACACCCACACTAAACACACACAACACTACACCCACACTAAACACACAACACTACACCCACAACACTACACCCACTAAACACACAACACTACACCCACACTAAACACACAACACTACACCCATACTAAACACACAACACTACACCCACACTAAACACACAACACTACACCCACACTAAACACACAACACAACACTACACCCACACTAAACACACAACACAACACCCACAACACTACACCCACACTAAACACACAACACTACACCCACACTAAACACACAACACTACACCCACACTAAACACACAACACTACACCCACACCATACACACAACACTACACCCACACTAAACACACAACACTACACCCACACATAACACACAACACTACACCCACACTAAACACACAACACTACACCCACACTAAACACACAACACAACACCCACACTAAACACACAACACACACCCACCTACACACAACACTACACCCACACATACACACAACACTACACCCACACTAAACACACAACACAACACTACACCCACACCATACACACAACACTACACCCACACCATACACACAACACTACACCCAACACTACACCCACACTAAACACACACACAACACTACACCCACACCATACAACACAACACTACACCCACACTAACACACAACACTACACCCACACCATACACACAACACTACACCCACACCATACACACAACACTACACCCACACTAAACACACAACACTACACCCATTACTAAACACACAACACTACACCCCCACCATACACACAACACTACACCCACACCATACACACAACACTACACCCATACTAAACACACAACACTACACCCACACTAAACACACAACACTACACCCACACCATACACACAACACTACACCCACACTAAACACACAACACTACACCCACACTAAACACACAACACTACACCCACACTAAACACACAACACTACACCCACACCATACACACAACACTACACCCACACTAAACACACAACACTACACCCACACTAAACACACAACACTACACCCACACTAAACACACAACACTACACCCACACTAAACACACAACACTACACCCATACTAAACACACAACACTACACCCACACTAAACACACAACACCCACACTAAACCCACACTAAACACACAACACTACACCCACAACACTACACCCACACTAAACACACAACACTACACCCACACTAAAACCCACACTAAACACACAACACTACACTACACACACAACACTACACCCACACTAAACCCACAACACTACACCCATACTAAACACACAACACTACACCCACACTAAACACACAACACTACACCCACACTAAACACACCAACACTACACCCACACTAAACACACAACACTACACCCACACTAAACACACAACACTACACCCACACTAAACACACAACACTACACCCACACTAAACACACAACACTACACCCACACTAAACACACAACACTACACCCATACTAAACACACAACACTACACCCACACTAAACACACAACACTACACCACACTAAACCCACACTAAACACACAACACTACACCCAAAACACTACACCCACACTAAACACACAACACTACACCCACACTAAACCCACAACACTACACACACACACTACACCCACACTAAACCCACACTAAACACACAACACTACACCCATACTAAACACACAACACTACACCCACAAAACACACACTACACCCACACTACACAAACAACACCCACACTAACACACAACACTACACCCACACTACACACAACACTACACCCACATAAACACACAACACTACACCACACTAAACACACAACACTACACCCACACCATACACACAACACTACACCCACACTAAACACACAACACTACACCCACACTAAACACAACACTACACCCACACTATACACACAACACTACACCCACACTAAACACACAACACTACACCCACACTAAACACACAACACTACACCCACACTAAACACACAACTACACCCACACCATACACACAACCTACACCCACACTAAAC